TCTTCATAGAAGCAAAGCCCAAACCACACCCACTGCCCTGGAGTCCATTCTGACCCACAGCGCCCCTAGAGGACAGAGTGGAACTGCCCCACAGGGTCTCCAAGGCTGTACTTTGTACAGAAGCCTATCGTCTCATCTTTCTCCAGCAGGAGGGCTGGTGGATTCAAACCACTGATCTTTTTAGTTGGCAGCTGAGTGCTTAACCCTTGTGGCACCAGGGCCCCAGTGACGATGACAGTAAGCACCTATGCAGTTCTTACGACACTTTCCTGAGTGCTAGACTCACACTAACTCAGGGACTCCTCCCAACTCCACGATTCAGAGCCACTCGCAGAAGAGGGCACAGAGAGGACACGTGTCATCCCCACAGCTCAGGGCCAGAGCAGCCTCTGCACCGTCAGCAGACCCCCGGGTCATGGGGGGAGGGGATAGGCTGGTCCCTGCCCAGAACTCAGGCCCAGCAGCCAGCCCTCAAGAGACTGGTGTAAACGGCCAAAAAGAGAGGCCAGGGCCTAGGGCAGGTACACACGAAGACATAAAGAGAGAAAGCGACCGCAGCAGGTGATGCGAGAAACTGAGAAGGACAAGGAGACACAAGGAGCTTCCCAGCCCCGGCAAAGTGGGAAAAGACACAGCAAGAAACAGGGAGATGCCACTTGGAAAAGGACGGAGGCAAAACACGCAACAAAACTCAAAACCACAAAAACGACCAGCATTACTGGTTGGACAGAGACTGGAAGAACCCCCAAGACACCGGCCCCGGGTTATCCTTCAGGCCTGAACTGGATTAGCTCCCAGCCAAACGGCAGAAAGACCTATGAGCACAACAGCCACCCCAGGGAGATGCGCCCTTTGATCAGAGGGAAAGCTGGACAGACAGGAATGCAGAGAAATGCACCCCAGGGAAGGGGTGGTCACAGGAGCAGAGCTGCTTATTGTTGGGATTGTAATCAGGGACGTGAAGGCAAATGTCCATGAACCGTTGGGAGTAAAACAAATCTGCTTTGTAAATTTGCACCCAAATCACAATGAAAAATTTGGAAAAAAAGAAGGAAATAAGGGGGATACTCAATGAGGCAGGGAGGCAGACAAAAGACAGAGAGGGCCCCCAGAGAAAGAGGCAGCGACCTGGGACAGATAAGTCCCGAGAAACACGGGGTATCATGGAGCGAGCGTGCCATCCGGGTCCAAGTCCCAGCACACGGGCCACGGCAGCGCAGCCTCCGGGAGGCTGGGCTCGGCCAGCTCCACAGCCAAGGGCAGAAACCACCCGGCAGGCTGATCAAGAACATCAAGTGTCTGGCTGCGGGCCGCACAGATAGCAGGCGCTCAGGAACACCGGCCGCTATCCTTATCAGGGAAACACCAGAAAACGTTTCCAATAGCCCGGAATCCATAAGACGCGGGCGTATTTCAAGCGCGGGCAAAACTACGGCTCCGGACTTTATGCAAATCTCGCTGAGCGTGAGGCCCGGTGGTTCAAACTGAAGTGGACTCCAAGGAAAATATCAGAGACTCTCCAAGGAAGTACAGACGGTGCGGCAAGCCCGCCGCGAAGTTCTCAAACGGGGCACAGGTCGCCGCGGGCGCCCGGCGAACTGCACACCTTCTGCCCACCAGGCAGGGCGCTCCCCAAGCGCTGGGCACAGGGACCCTCCAGCTCGAAGACGAGGAAACGGAGGTCTAGGAGCGCTCAACTAGCAAAGAACGGGGCCGGGGTTCCCAGAGCCGGAACCGTGGCCAGCACACAGCGCAGCCTCTGGAAATTAGGGGAAGGGGCAGGGGGCTCTGGGGCCGAGCGCGGGCGTAGAGAGAGCGAGAGGGACGCGTGGAAACAGGCAAAGAGGGGCCCTAGAGGCAGGGGGTGTCGGGAGGGAAGCTCGAGTCACAGAACGCACCGCGCGGCAAGGACCGACAGGCAGACACACACAGGCCGACACGGAGCCCGACCGGCGCGGAGGCACAGGCGGCGGCCGGCGGCACGGACGGTGACAGACACTCCGGCGGCGGCGGCCAGGCCAGCCCAGAACAGAGACCGCGACACAGACGCAGGGAACCGGACGCGGAGACACAAAGGCGGCAGAGACGACCAGAACCGAGGAGGGAGAGCCAGCCAGCCCCAAAGCCCGGCGGAGTCCGCACGTCGCGGCCCAAGCCGCGGTCCCGGCGCCCGCCACCGCCAGCGCCCCCGGCCAGCGCTCACCTCGGCCCCTCACGCCGGACTCCGGGGGGTCATGGCGGTCAGCCCCCTGCCCCCGCTCGGCCTCGGTGTCGCGGGGCGCGCGGCGGGCGACAGAGGCGGAGGCGCGCTCGGGACCACGCGGAGACGCTCCGGGGCCGCACACCGACCGCCCCGCCGCCCCAGCGCCCGGGAAGGGGCGCGGAGAGCCGGGCGGGGGAGGGGAAGCGCCGAGCGGACGGGAAGCAACCGGAGGAGACGGACCGGAAACGGAAATGGCCGGATGCCCCGCCCCCGTGACGGACCTGCGCAGTTGCCGCTATGCGCGGCCAAGGCCCCCCCCCACCCCGAGAAGCAGCACTTCCGCCGTGCGGCCTTGCGCGCCCGTCGCTAGGCGCCGCTGACCTCACTTCCGCCTGCCGCTGATGCGCGGGAAGGGCCACCCCGCCCCGCCCCGCAGGCTCAACCCGGGGACCCAGGGGCCGCGTGCGCCTTGGCCACGCCCCTCCACCAGGTGCCGCTAGGGGTGCCCAGGCCTGACGAGGCCACTGGCTGTCCCACACGCTCAGTGCTCTCGGGCACGCCCTTTGCCCGTCCTGGAGGAGGGACCCAGGCAGGGTCGACCCTGGAGAAAGGCTGCGGTTGGCGTCAAGGATCTGAAAGCCAGGCACATCCACCCTGCGGTCCGCCACGACCTCCCCCCCAGAACTGTAGGGAGGGGCTCATAGACCAAACAGCAAGCAGCTCCATAAAGTAAAATACAACAAAATGTTTAATGAGCAAATTCGTCTTAGCAAATATGAAACTGCCACAGAGAGTAGGCGGGGGACAGGGCCACGAGGTTAGGGGTGGGGCGGGGGAGACTACAGGAGGGTCAACTACTCAAGAAACCAGGGCGGGAGCGGCGAGGGCCAGG